TGCAACAATAACGATAGGTTTCATTAAAAAGAATCTATAGAGTCCATCGTTGTCTGCATTTCTGCCGTTACATCATCCTAGCCATGTTTGAATCCCACCGAATAGCCTCCCTCAATTCTTTGTATGCTTTCTATTCTCCATTGTATTGTCTTTTTCTCTGCATGTCTAAGACAAATGCTAATTAAAGTGAATCTGTAACCAAAACTGGAAAGCGTCTGGCTTCGAAAAAATAACCGAAAAACGCATATATTTGGTGAATTGCATAGCTAACCTACATGGTCTTAGACTAAGTGTCACTCATATTTCGAGATTCCGTTGCATGCATAGATGTTAAAATATTGATACAAAATTCTTTCTGAGATGTTCCAGCAGTTGTTATCACGATTAGAAGAAGTTTAAGCTATTTTTTTCATTATTATGTGATGCACTGTCCATGACACTTCGGAACACCGCGACCACTTTAAGCAATGCAAACAACGTCAGAGCACAGGAAATTGGAACGAAAAGATTTTCCACTTTCAGATTAATTTTTTGATGCAACGCGATTGAAATTATTTTAGTTCTTTGTGGTTTCCATGCTTCATCAAATTAAATTTTGTCTAATTATTAACTCGCGATCCTTCATTTTCAAAGCATAGGAAAATTCGAGTAAAAACGCGACCCAAAGTAAAAGTGTCGCAACGTGACGTAGTCGAACCTTTATTCTACACTGCGTTGGAGTCTATATGTACGTTATTCTACACTGCGTTGGAGTCTATATGTGCGTTATTCTACACTGCGTTGGAGTCTATATGAAGTTTGCGTGTACGTTATTCTACGCTGCGTTGGAGTCTATATGTACGTTATTCTACACTGCGTTGGAGTCTATATGTACGTTTATCTACACTGCGTTGGAGTCCATATGTACGTTATTCTACACTGCGTTGGAGCCTATATGTACGTTTATCTACACTGCGTTGGAGTCTATATGTACGTTATTCTAAACTGCGTTGGAGTCTATATTTACGTTATTCTACACTGCGTTAGAGTCTATATATACGTTATTCCATACTGTGTTGTAGTCTATATGTACGTTAATCTACACTGCGTTGGAGTCTATATGTACGTTATTCTACACTGCGTTAGAGTCTATATATACGTTAGTAGTCTAGATGTACGTTAATCTACACTGCGTTGGAGTCTATATGTACGTTATTCTACACTGCGTTAGAGTCTATATATACGTTATTCTATACTGTGTTGTAGTCTATATGTACGTTAATCTACACTGCGTTGGAGTCTATATGTGCGTTATTCTACACTGTGTTGGATAAGTGTAAAATTTAAAACTTGAAAGTAGCACTTTGATTAATTTGAACTGCGAATGTTGGTATCAGTAAAAAAAAGTAAATAAATAAAAAAAATTTAAATGAAATGAATCAATTCCTCACTGTGCATTAATAATTATATTAACGTTTCATTGATAGTAATGATTAAGGAAATTCATTTCAGCGACTCCATGTAGTTATTGTCCAAGCCATAGTCAAATTAAACTTATATTGCTTCTTATATATATGTATCCATATATAATTGATAAAGTCTATCTAAAACGTCAGAATACTCGTCAATTTGAGCCAGATGCCAATTTAGATTAAATTCCATCATTTGCTTCATCGAATACGGTGGACAAACGTATGGTATGCAAACACATAGTGCAGGACCATCGAGTTAAATCGCTGTCGATCGCCAATGATTTCGTTATGTTAGAAATGATGAGGGAAATTTTCTTACATTACGATTAGTTTGTTTAAAAAAATCTTTTGAGCTATGAACAAATTTAAAACCAATATCGGAACTGTCCCATCTGCGTATCGGCACTTCTATTATGAATTGAAATATATTGAATTTACTTCACATATTTCAACTCATTTATCAACGCCAACACCGTATTGTTAGACCTACATGAAGATCACGCCAGTAAAGTAAAATAATATTTCACTTAAAAAAAATAACCTAGCTAGCACTGGGATCGCCGAACTGCAGAGACAACCATTAGTTTCGTACAATAACACATTCAGAAAAATGAGAGGTGAATATTATTCAAGTAATGAGACGATTTTTTAGACAATGCAGATCAGCCTTTTTTACGGCCTATTGCATGAACAATAATTGTGGCAAATGGGACCCAAAAAAGGGGGCAAAATGTTAATGGCCATTTTAATCCTTCTTTGCATATTTACAAGCTTCGTTGCACGTGCAGTAAAAATTAGCAAGACTTCACTAAACGAGAAGCTGTGCTTGTGACAATTTATTTATATTTTTTTTAATTCCCTCTAAATTAATTAAAATAAACAAAGAAAAAACATAAAATATTAAACTCCCTCTAATTTCAGACGGCACGTATTTCAAAATCCAAGCCCACCTCCATGTAAAATCACACCCTCTTTGCCATACACATCGATATTACTCTTGACATCCATATTTTTTACAAGCAAGCAGACGCTGAGTACGGGAAAAACTCGTGCAACTTCATAGGCCCATTTTTTCCGGAGGCTTAATTTCTTTGCAAAATTTTAAGCGGTTCTTGGTAGCAAGCACCACTCAGACAAAAATCCTCGAGGCAAAAACAGGCCGTGCACCTCGCCTCTCCTTAGCATAATATCTTCGCTGAAATTAGAGTCTCATCAAGGCTTCCTAACGAGATTCCGTTAAGAGGCCCGATAGCCGTAACGTAAAGCCTGGCTAAAAACGCTTCCTCCAAGCTCAATATCAACGTTAAAGGGAAACTTATCTGCTAGCAGTAATCTGTTTTCCTGTTTAGCTCTCTGTTGAATGGCTTAGCTTTCTGTTGATGGACGCTAAATCGTGAACGATTGTGATTTTGACGACTGATCGTGATGTTTAAGTGGCTCGTAGCGCTCTAGCTCGATCTGTTCTAATGTGCATCTGCAGAATGAAGACGCTGAGCAACTAAGACGATCGGTGCAATTTAAGGACCTCGGCACCTGCGATTGGTGAATCTCATGAAGACATTATAAGAATAGTTTTTAATATTCGACGACGGTAACTAGAACCAAGCCTGTAATGTTCACCTGTATCGCCATAGCGATGCATGCTTGTAACTGCTTGATTCGATTCGACTGCTATTCTCTTTTGTCTGCATCAAATTTCTCTGAGAATTGCAAAAATAGAAATAATTTAGACAACGTTTGAGTTGAATCCAAACTAAACTTCATTTGTCACGAGATAAAGGCATTATATTGAAACAGCTCTATTATAATTAATATGACAATAACTGCTTCATTTTGGGTATCATGTATAAATTCCAATTTGTTGCAGTCCGGTCAATCACGAAAGAATTATTCCAATATACTGCACCTTCGATGTTCTGAATAAAGCACGAGTTGGGTCTGCGCTTGCAATATACAAAAAATTACCTGATATGAATCTATATAGGAGTCATGTTATCGTTTGCAATATTATCACTTGACGAAATTTCGAAACCAATAACTTCCGGTCTGACTACTTATACAATGTTAGTTTTAGTTTAATGATCTACGTTACGCTCCACTTTGTGATATGGCAATATGATGAACGCATGCGATTTTCATTGCGCGGAATATGTAGTTTGAATTTGCTGTATTGAAAACAGTAAAAAATGTGTATTTTTTGAATCCGCGTCTTATGGTTGTCATTGATGTAATGACTGAACGATTTTCGCTCCATTACTTAACAAGGAAAAATCATTGAGAAATCAATCATTGAGGTGATAGTCGTGTTATTGGAAAGAGCCTCTTCGAATAGGCAATTAAAAATTAAGCTGCCTATAATTTTATTATTATGTTTTTTGATAGAATAACGTTCAGTTGTTTAAGTTTATTTTTTTTTGTTTAACTCTAAAGTTTAATAATTTTTTGAAATAGCGTTATAAGGCCGACAGCCTTTGAGTCTCCACTGCAATTATTAAAGGATTTTTATACTTAATGAACACATTTTGGAATTAAAATTAAATGAATGTGATTCGATTCATCGTCATTTGCGAATAGGTAATTCCCGGATAATCCAACATTATTACAATAATCCAAATCTGTTCAATTTCTTGTACTTTTCATTCAACACCGTAACATATTTAAATGATAAAAGAAATTATCTAATACGTCAAACAAAGACAAAGTTAATGACCTATTTTCAAAAGTACAGGATAATTATTAATTCTATCTCTGAAAAGAATTTTCTCGGTGCATGTTTTAATTCACTGTTCGGACATGATTATGCCTCAGACGAAATTACAGCGTATGAATTTAGGTTTTTCATAGAAGGCGAATGAAGCAAGATGGAAAGGCAGTATTATTATTAGGCCATCCTATGAACAAAATAATTAATGTGTATTTTACTAAGGTCTTGACGCATTTCTTGATTGTTCTGTTTTATTGATGATAACATTAGATCGCTGCAATTATTCTGATTGCCGGAGAAACTGTTCTATTTCTATTGCATTTTTTGGGAGCGATTCGATGGCTTTTTTGCATTGTAAAGGCCACATATATTTTCTGATAAATGTCCGCACCTAATATTCATGTGCAGCTTCTTATCATCGGTCTTTGATCTCAGATTACATTCGTTTATTATTGTTGAGATCAAACAAGAGTTTTGTCTTCTGCGCGATCTAAGACACAGCAAAAACTTTCGAGTATTTTAAAGAAGAGAGTGAATGCTGAATTTTTCAGCATGAGTTAACGTGATGCAAATCTCAAGGTATATCTGTTTGACGCTGGGAAATGAGGTGGGAATGACAGAATATGTATGCAAATTTAATCACGATTTATTTCGGAATAGCAGGGGCAATTTTTAGCAGGGTCGAGAAGTTGAAGGCGAAAAAAATGAGAACCAGCGCAACAAAAGCAATTTTTTCGCAGTGGGTAAAGTGAGATATGAATATTTAAATGTCTGAAGTTGGAGTTTCATAAGTTAATTTTTAAAATTTATCAGTATATTAGGATACTAATCAAATATATATTTTATTTCCATTTTAGTATTCTTCTGAAGTCGATCTTAAGTAAATACATATGAATAAATTCTAATATGAATTCTGTCTCAAGCTAAATAATTACTATGAAGTTAAATTTAACTCCCTGCTCGAGACTGGCAATGATAATGAACATAAATAACAATTTTTTGAATATTTTTTTCTTTGGCTACAACTTCGATTTATATGAATGTTTCTCCTCAATATATTATCCGACATTAATGATTGGACGTTTTAGACTAAAAACTGACATGAATATTTTAGCTGGTTAACGTGGTAGAGTTGATTGAGACGTGAATATTTCAGTTAATTAAAATTTTAAAAATAATTTAGACGTGAATACTTTAGCCAATTAAAATTTTAAAGCTAATCGAGATGCGAATAATTTAGCCAATTAACCTTTTGAACTAATTTGCAACGCATATTGTTCAGTTAGTTAACCTTGTATGGTTGATTGACGCTCGAATAAGGCAGCTAATTAACCTTATAAATTCTTCAGTCAGTCAACCTTGTAGAGTAAGATCAACACGCGTATAGTCCAGCCAATTACTCCGTATTTTCACTATACGCATTTTCACAGTAGGTTTTTCCGTATTTTCACAGTGGGGGTTTCGTATTTTCACAGTGGGTTTTTCCGCATTTTCACAGTGGGGCTTTCCGTATTTTCACAATAGATTTTCCCTATTTTCACAATGGGTTTTTCCGTATTTTCACAGTAGGGTTTTCCGTATTTTCACAGTGGGTTTTTCCGTATTTCCACAGTGGGGTTTTCCACATTTTCACAATGGGTTTTTCCGTATTTTCACAGTGGGTTTTTCCGTATTTTCACAGTGGGTTTTTCCGTATTTTCACAGTGGGTTTTTCCGTATTCTCACAGTGGGTTTTTCCGTATTTTCACATTGGGATTTTCCGTATTTTCACAGTGGGTTTTTCCGTATTTTCACAGTGGGGTTTTCCGTATTTTCATAGTGGGTTTTCCGTATTTTCACAGTGGGGTTTTCTGTGTTTTCACAGTGGGTTTTTCCGTATTTTCACAGTGGGTTTTTCCGTATTTTCATAGTGGGTTATTCCGTATTTTCACAGTGGGGTTTTCCGTATTTTCACATTGGGTTTTTCCGTATTTTCACATTGGGTTTTTACGCATTTTCACAGTTGGTTTTTAGGCCTGATGAGAAGTGCGGCAGAATGAAGCGCCTCCTCTCCCTTCCAGTTCCTCCAGTGCAGAGTATGGGGGCCTTCAGTGCCCCTCTGGGCATCAGAGGTGCCAGCGCCCGTCAAGAGGGAGACGTGGCACTGATGAAACCACCAGCCTGCACCGTAGTCCAGACCACAGTGGCTTCCTGACAGACAAGGCAATCAGAAAATCATGGTTTGTACGTATGAGATCATGAATAAATAATGTAACATGTTGCACCGAAACAAAAAAAAAGAAGATTTATGTAAACTTGGGGAAATCTGACAATAAAATTTGTTTATGGCATGCTATGTACAAAAAATTGTTCACTATATTTTGAGTTCACTATATTTTCATGTTATTTTCCATCTTTTCACGTTATTTTATAGAGTCTTTGTTATCCTAGTAAAACATGGTTTTCACTGACCTTTCATTTTTGAGGGTCATGAATAAATAATGTAACAAGATTGCACCGAACCAAAAAAAAAAAAGATATTCGTAAACTTGTTGAAATCTGATCTTAAAGTTCCGATATGGCATTTTATGTACAGGAAATTGTTCTCGAGTTCCCAATAATTGGATTTTTCAATCTTTTGACATTATTTTATAGAGTTTTTGTATCCTACTGAAACAGGGTTTTCATTGACCTTTCAGTTTTTGAGTGTCTCATTCGCCGGAACAGTTTCTGTTATTGGCCACTCTAGTGGGGGCTTTGAACGTCGATTGGATAAGGGTTTTCTCACGAGCAAAATTTATTACCGATGAGAGAATATCCTGAATAATTTTTATCTACGATTTCTGTGCATGAAAACTCACCAAAGAAAAGCATTAAAGATTTTATAATTTTATAAAGGCTTATCGTGAAGTAAAACGTCGGTAAATCCGTGCGGAAAGTTGTATGCAAATGCACCGAGTTTTTTATGTGGCTTTGAAACCGTGGATATATTTTATCGTTATATGGTAAACCAGTTTTCCCTATGAAATGAATTAATAATGATTACGGAGAATTAAACCTAAATATTTTCAGAGGGCCTTTGATCTCCAATAAGATATTGACAACAATGCAAAGAGAATTTGTTTGAAAATATTACAATTAATCACATCTCTCACCGTCGTCCTGCAGTATCTGATCACTTCTTATCATTTATTGATGTTACTCAACACGTAAGAGTTATTGAGCATGAAGAACAATTGCATACAACACTCTTTTGATCTTTGGTGCCACATTATTTTTTTACAGTCACTATAATAGCCGTATTTTCCCCTTTTTCGCACTACAGGCCTCATTCGTCCGCATATTACTTACCATAATGTCATATTATTCAAAATCAGTTGGAAGACAGCTTCCTGGCTTATATCAAAGTGAATCTGCAGAGCGGCACAGCCTGCATCGATGTGTGTTTGAAATAAAAGATTGCGCTGCATTGGCTTACATTATTTCGCTAATAAGTCCATTTCCTCATATACCGTCACATATCTGACGCTCTGCCATTTTAAGCGCATTATTCTAAATCTGGTCAAACTGAACTGAATTATTGGATTAAAACACTTTAAATATACCCTTTAGGAATATATTAAGACTGTTATTGCTGTTGCGTCAAAATATTACTTTTTATTTCTATCATATGAAAAATTGATTTGTCGAATTCAAACTAAAATTGCATATTTTCCAAAGATAATAATGCATTCCTGTATATGCGAGTGTCGTGAGAAAATCTACATCACAGAATCCGTCCTATTTTTTAAGCACGTTTTCACACCGTTCCATGCAGCTCCACAAATGCTGTTTATTTGCGCAATATTATAGGCAATGCCTCGCCATACAAATCATTTAAGCTGTCGTAATCATTTAAGATTCTGGCTTATAACTGGTCAATGAACTCCACGCACCGTGAGTCATTACAGGAGAGGCGCTCTTTTTATAGAGCATCCACCAATGATAGTGCCGATATATAGCGTCATTATAGCTTATGGGAATCTTATTAATTCACTAATGAACCCATAGGATTAATACGGGTTGTTTTCTGCCATGTAACTTTCGTCTCTCATGTGTACGGGGCGAGGTGTTAAAGATAAAATAAATGGGAGAAGTACAATAGATAGAAAAAATTTGAAATATTTAACTAGCAAGCAAATTATTATAGAAAGGTTGAAAGATAAGATTGATAGTAGAGGCATTTCGGGACTACAGTTGCTCTTCGGCTGTTGAGAACATTTAAGATCATAAAAACTGAGTATATTTAATTTGCAGCCGACTCAGCTGCAAATAAAAACAATACATTTCTTAAATGATCACCGTACTCAATAACACTTGTCACTCACCTCATAACCAATCATCACATTGCTGATCATAACTTACCATATCAAGCACCACCTCTCATAACGTTACTTAGTGTAAGTTTGTACACACATACATAAGGTTACTCACTCTAGGTAAGTTTGTACATACATACAGTTTGTTTGTGACCCGCCCACGAACATGCTGATGCACCACCTTTGATATCCACCAATGGTATCCACCTTCGCTACCGAAAAATGAACTTAGCTAGTCACGGCTCGAACACATGGCTACTTCCTTCCATCTTGGGGCCGTTATCACTGCACTACAATGTCACAACTCACCATGATGCCCATCACAGCTCACCATGATACTCTCCACTACTCACCATAATCTTCACAACAGCTAACATTGACACTAAATCAGGGTTACTCACCATAATTATCACCACAACTCACCATGATACTCTCCACTACTCACCATAATCTTCACAACAGCTAATCATGATACTCACCATAACTCACCATAATCACCACCACAACTCACCATGATACTCATCGTTGTCACGGTCATATGTACTGAAGGAGCGGCGGTGGTGGAAGGCCAGACCGTCGCCAGCCGTACTGCGCTTGTCGTCGTACTGCGCCGCCATGAGCCTGTAGCCCGAGCCTTCGTCTGATACTCTAACGAAGAAATAATTCATGGTTCATTGGTAGTATTGCATAATGAATCCGATGTAGAAATAACATTACCCGAATCATTGCGTTTCTAGTATTGTATTAGTATTTTACAGTGGAATTAGTACGGAATTAGTAGTTACCCTAGCAGTATCTTTCAGCGTCATCTGTATCAACGATGAGGAAAAGGTTTTATGCAAGTCAGTTCATGTCTTAGCGTTAATTTGAATTCTTGTACGTAGCGAATTCACCCATGACAATTTAACTGAGAACCCGGTTGAGATATTACAAGGTAATTAATAAACTATTTACCATTAGAAAATTGAATTGAAATCCTACTCATCAATGGCAAACGGAACAAACATCTAGTATAAATTATTGTCGGAATACGCGATCATGGTTTGACGCGGAAGGCTCTCTGCATGACATGACCGACCTCTGCATGACCTGCATACGACATGCATGACTTCCGTGTGAGTAGATCATTGCTATCAATTATATTGGCATGGAAGCGAATCGCTTCTAGTTCCAGGTCACTCATATTGAATCGATACAGAACTGATCGGCTTGTTGATGGATACATTAGGCTAGCGCTATATGGCTATGTTATGTTTTTATTATTAGTACCTAGCATTTGTTCACACTTGTAGAAAGTATAATAGTACATAATAGTGCATTATTCTCAGAGGCAGATGATTGAGACATTATGCTCTTATGCCCAGAAACTTCTGATTTTATAATGAATCAGCCGAGTATTCATCCATGATTCCATATACTGTGTTAATACTGATATATATTCATAAATGCTTGTATTGATCCGTAATTTCGAATATTCTCGAAAAAAAATTCATAATAAACAACTGTATACTCTTTTGAGATACCAAAAAATTGCTTCAATAGTGCTAAGAATTCATAATTGAATTGTTTAATAAATTGAATTCAACTGACCGGAATTGGCCGTACGCTGCAGTAGCGTTTTGTCCTCTGAAATCGTTCAGAAGAATCAAAGCTTCCCAAGGCTCCGCTGAAGCTGAAGTCAAGGCATGTAGCACGTCGTTACCTGCTCGTGCAAATGTTTTTTTTTGTGTTTTTAGCTGATCATATCAAAGCCTTAAGCGATAACAGAAGATTTGTTCAATATAAAATGTTCCGACGCCGCAACCTAGGCGTTATCGCGATATCCCAGATTATGGCTATCGTATTTTAACCCAGCGTCAACTGGCGATGAACTGATACATTGGTACGAATAGCATAAATAGCAGTTAATGCGGTCTGCAGAATAAAGGGAACAGCTGTGAGAATTTCTGACCATTCGTTTCTTTTGCATAATTTTATTTGCATATCACCCTTAAGGAAATTCAAGAGCGGTGACAATCTAATTATCGGCGGTTTAATAATATTTTAAAGTAACGTAAACTCATCCTTTTCCAACACTAAAGCAATCTTTAATTTTTCCCTTTTAATACATTTCTTCGTCATGTTATTCCATTAACGAACCAAAACTCAGTATCTTAACCCTCAAACAAATGCAGTGAATGTCAACTTGAGTAACCCAATTCATACTTTAACTCTGAAATTCAGGAACTCAAGTCCTACTTTAACCCTAAAACTAAGGAACAATAATTGTCCTACTTCCCTACTTCAACCCACAGATTCGGTAACTAATGGCCTACTTCAGCTCTCAAATCAAGTCTAAATTGTCTTACTCGACCTTCAGATTCAGTATCTCAATTCTTACAATTGTTATTCAGCGTTTTTATTCCATTGACTCAGAAATCCGCCGTCAACTGAGGTAGCCGTGAGCCGCACGCGCGGTTTTCAGACCGCCGGACAAAGTTTGAGCAGAGGTTCAGCGAGGCTTACATTTGCCTCAACCGTGTAATCTGGCGTTGCCATAGAAACGACTCGGCCAAAGGCTGGCCTGCAATAATATTGCAGCTCTGCTAAACTACGACACGTCGCCATCGCAGACAAACGCGTTTGGAGGTACTGACCTAGCTAAGAAACAGCTCGCGGAAATACGTGCATTTGAATATTTTGTGATTCTCAGGCAATCGATAAAAATCATTGATTTATCGCTAAATTTTTGGCTGTATTTTTTAATTGGAGATTAGTTTACGCTGCCTTGAATAAAAGTCGCTGTCATCAAGAAACAAGGCCCATGAAGCTTTTGTTGCCCCATAATTTTTACGTATTGAGATTATACCTAAGTAAACTATGGTTCATTGAAATAACTAAAAAAGTCCAATTGCTTATTTTTCACGCATGGTCTTCAATCACACATCACTAGTACGTTAATCGACAAGTAGTGATTGATTGTTAGTAACAGATTCATGGCGCAAGATTTGCGGTGACATATTTTCAGTCATTAATTAGGAGTAATATGGTTCTTGTGATAAATTTGTCGCTGTACATGTTCAATTCAAGTGCATACAATTGCTGCAGTAACAAGAAGTATAGGTGTTCAAGTATGTAATGCGTCAAGGCGACGTAACGCTGTGACACCTTATTGGCTGTGGAGATTGGCTTGTTGATCGGGGTAGGAAAGAAAAATCGTTCATTTCCGCTGATGGCATTCTTTTATAAATTCGAACTTGATTCATTGTTAACGCCATTAGGTTTATTGTTCATGATTAACCCAATTCGGTTCATTCGTGGATGATTTTAAACGAGTCATTTTCTTGGAATTCAAAGATTTTATAGTTCTGGTTCATTTACAATTTTTGTTATAACGTTAAATGATACCAACATATTGTTACAAATCCTTTTCGGCTCGATAGCATTCGCGTCAGCAGTCTGCCCTTGACCTGATCATTAAAAATACAAAATCATGCCAATCATTTCATAAAATCTCGGCAAAATCTGGAAAATTCGCCACTTCGGTAAAATGATGCAAACAATTTCGAGAATTCTCTGCTTAATTTTAGCAGTTAGCAACCTTGAGAAGCGTCTATTATCTCGTTAATTATTATTGTGCAGGTTACGTGCTATGAAAAAGCTTGAAATTCAATTCGGATACGAAATTTTCTGACGTTTGCTTGTAAAAAAACACCCTAATTGCCAGTTTTCTGCGAATAATATTGGACATTCGAGTTTGAATCGGATGATGAGAGTACAAGTTGCCATGGAAACGAACATGACGTGAGCGTCTTGATTCTTGTTCAAACATCGGTGTGAAAATTGATAGATAATCTTATGTAAGAGGATTTTTGAGGTTTAATGTAGATTATCTATCGAATCTGACAATAAATACACATATTTCACACCTACATCTTTGGAATACCATGCATTATTAATTAATTAGTTTTGAGCGATTTAACAGATTATCTCATCACTTACATTACAGTCTTTTGAATATTGCTGCATTTGATTGCTGGACGATGCATGATTTAATTTTTTTCAATTGATTTATTTATAGTTTTCTCGTTCAAGTTATTAGGTAGATGATCAGTAACGAAATCAAGGGTCCTAGGGTATGATGTTGTACTCGACAAAGTACATCATACTGATACATGATAAATACATTAATCATAATTAAGTAATTTAAATAATTATTATATTAATTAATGAACGCAAAATAATTCTCTTAAACATTTCCGTTGAAGCCTGTGTCGAAGTAAATTTAGGTGCAAGAGTTTGCTTATATTTGGCAGAACATAAACAGGAAAATCATCTCTAATGATATAGAATAAGTGTTCAGTATAAATTTCTACTCATCTGAAAACGGTTAGAAAAGGCAGCTTTCAAAAAATCATATCAATGTATCGCTTTGATTTTCGAGCAAAATCAACTATCTTGTTTAATCTCGACCCATCATGCCAAGCAAATGCACAGTCGTGTAAACTTCAACTAAAATATTACTCAATTCAGGTACCCAAGATCTTAAGCTCTGTATTGTACTATTTTAAACACTTGGATTAAAGCTCACCGATCCAATATTCTCCTGTGTGATGTCCAAATCCATCCTTATATTCCACCCAAGTTCGGTTAAAGCTTTCACGCAACAGCTCCCGGGAAGAACCTTGTGAGGAGCGCCGGAGTCGTCGTCTTCGGTACCACGTCTCTTCGTCACCGGCGTCACCTGCAGGGTGCCGCTCGTCCGGTAGGATGTCGTTTCTGCTGGGGCGCTGCGGGTCTTTTTCAGCAGGTGGCCGCGCGGACAAGTCATGCTTGACTGACCGTGTGGGGTATGAGCTGACACGGGGGCTGTCCCGGTGCAAGGTGTCACCACTGGGCCCGTCGCGTTCACCGAACCCCGCGGTTTTCATCACGGGTTCCCGCCACAGAGCGACCGTCCACCCGCCACCGTCGGTAAGCATGTCGCATCGAACCATACGAGGTCCTATGCCAGGAGGCGCGATCTTTTTGAAGACAAGATATTGTTGAATAAGCAGTTTATGATTTTTATTTGCCAATCAATATTATTCATTAATTGTGAGTACTCGTTTATTTTGTTTAACGTTTTTTATCTTAAAAATGTATTTTAAATAATTTCAGCATAACCTTTCCGGTAGATATGTAAATTTCTAGCTACCGCAAGACTATGTAACATCATCCAGCCAAGACACAATGAATGTTTCATGTGATCATACATGCAAACTTAGTTAAATTACTAATCAATATAATACACAAACTTATTTGTAGTATTTTTTCCTTACCATCTTCCTTGAAGAAGGCTAGAGGTTTGTATGGCTGTTTTACCTTTCTCTGGTAAGTCATATCTGTCGATGTTGTAAGTCAAAGACACAGACACTCGTTGGTGTGGTAAACATAAGACGAGCTCGTGTCAACAGCCCCTGGCAAATACGAGTGATCGAGCTGTGTGTTTTGTAGGGCGAGCTTCGCTGAGCTTCAAGCCAGAAGTTTTGTATGGTGAATGTTTTTTTACCCTTCCAACTACACCCTGGAGTTTTATTTCAGTTCATATTTAGCATTTATCTAGTAATTTTGGGTACACATTTTTTTCACTAGTGATTTAAAGCTGTATATTGCGAAAAGGTACACCTTTTTTTCTCTGGTGATATATGGGTTACTCTTTTTGCCTAGATATTTGAAGCTAATGTTTTTTAATTGGTGAATTAAAGGTATACCTTTCTTCTCTCATGATATAAAGTTACGCTTATTTTCTCTCGTAATCTAAAATAGCGTTTCCCCCTTGAAAGCTCGGACTGAGAATTTCCATTTTTTCTCTGGTGATTTATAGGTTGACCTTCTTTCGCTGGTGATTTGAAAGCATTGTTTTCCACTGTGGAATTTAGAGAAACGTTTATTTTATTTTTTGTTATCTAAAATTTCATCTTGCATCCCCCCATAGCACTTGTTTTCTCTTTTTTCATAATGTCCTTTTTGTTGTGTTTGCCACTACATTTTTAAGCTATACTGTGGAAGTATTATATTCTGGAGTAGACGTTTTCTTCCCCTCTGCCCTGATTATTACAGCATTTCAACATCAGTCAGTTATAACATTTTTCATTTGAAGTTAATCAAGTTTTATCTCGAATATGATTTATTATTAATGTTTCGCAGCTTTTACTTAGCTAGGCCATTTATATGAACAACAAAAAAAGACGAAAACGTCAATCATCCAATACTCTCTCCATGTCCATCAATACCGTAATATCCTCTCGTGTTACAGCTCTGATAACTGTGCTAATATCACTTTAGTATTGTTTATGATGTAATTCTTAAGTATTATTGATCGTATAAATTATTGTTGCCAAGCATTATTGCCTGTTCCTTGTTCTTTGTCGTCCTTTTACCAACTGTGCGATAAATTTCGCAGTAGTAATTTGGAAAGTTACCTTCAAAAGTAATTCAGCTAATTGAAAGATCAGTGCCGATTACTCGGACTTCTGAAATACCCCGGTCAAAGCTCTTTTTATGTCCTGCGTGCAGGTTATTTTCCAAGTTTCTCCACAAGTTTGGGCTAAGTGCTTTGAATTTCTGTTTGTGCCGTTTTGGGGCACGAAAATTCTCTTTGAACTGATGCCTTCAGACGGTCTCTGGCAATTGCATTGGACAAATAGTGGTTTTGTTTTACAGGAAAGCAGAGGTCTACAAATTGGACACGTAAAAACAATAATTAAAAGCCCATTTCTAAATCAAGATCAATCATTGAAGGACGCTTCAATACTTGAGTTCGCGGTCGGCCGCTGAATCAAAGTTGTTCAAGAAGAAAACCGCTATTATGCTTTGATGAAACTAAATGTTCCTGAAACTAGGAGAAATGTAAATTAGTTGCAGATGAATGATGAACTGTAAAAAATTACAGCAACTCTCATGAATAGAAACTTCAGTGAGTGAACATCTGTCAGACATATTATCATTTTTTGTAATACTGCGCAACTAACAGGATCAGCAGAGGTAATAATTTATGAGCCTTGCTTAGTTTTTTCATTTGCCATTTGTACATAATGGAAGATATCGAATAAAAATTCACCACCATGAAGTCAGGAATTCATCCTGTATGAATTGTGCAGTGCATCATCGCGCAAGCTTCATCGTCTTATCGACTTCGCAGGAGTGTACTAGTTTCATATTCAGGCTGTAGCAAGCTGCTTTTACGTAACTTTCACATTCTTCTCGGACAAATTCATGCAGAAATCCACGCGTGTTTTATTATGTCGGTACTTTCGTCCGATAGTCGGAATAATTCATCACTATTTGTTATTCATATTCAAGCCAAGAAATTTCCGAGCGATAATTCAGATGTTAACATACAAATACAAATTTAGCCGGAAGGCTTACGATATTTGATTTTAAAATTAATGTACTTTTGGCAATTCAAGAGCACCAAAGAATATTTGTCAACGTATTTTCAGATGACCCACTGCCAATGCTAATATCTACTAAATTTTAAGCGATAAACAACTCATAAAAAAAGCCTTACATCAACATGGCATAAATTTGATCTATCTATCACTGAGGTTCTCAAAGAAGTCGAGCTTCCCATCTAGAAATTCTTTTACTTCCTTCCTTCATTGGCTCCTCTGAATCATCGCCAAGAAAATAGTTATTAATTAATTTCCCTACGAGGTAAAGTCATTAAAGGCAGGCTGCAAGAATTTCTCTCGAGCGCCCAAATTTGGCTGTGCATCATCCGCGAAGTTTCTGATCAATGACCTTACATGTGAGCGTCTTTTGATATTTCAGCCAAGTTGATGTATTGGCTGTCTTATTATTGGTTATTAATTATTATATCAGACAAGTAGCAACTATTAATGAACGTACGACATCAATCAGTCCTTCAGAAGTTGGACGATTGAAAATTTTGGTATTCAAATATTCTATAGTATCTAAATGCATCTATAAAAAAATAATATGTAAAATATGTATTTTTACATAGCTTGTATCAGCAATATGTTACTTGAAGATTCCTCTGTTGATATCATCGCCGTTATAATTACAATCTGTTATTCTGTGGTGATATTCTTCTTAAAAATCTCTCTCTCAATAAACATCATTAAAAATAGAAAACTATTTTACGGCATGTCCATACTCAAAATATCAAAATCATTAATTGGTGCATAATTTTTTCTAGTTTCTTGTAGAACTCCTCCACTAAGTCCTACTAAAAAAGTATTTCTACTAAACAATTCCGACTAAATCTTCTCAGGAATAAACTCTATTTCATTGGTATTTCTACATTCATGCATAGCTAGAAAGCTAACTCCCCCGTCTTTGAAGGATTCTTGATCAGTAGCCATCCTGCACGCCATAAACGTTAAAAAATATAATAGTTGTAGCATAACATTTAGATATTAGTTATAAGCCATTAAATGCTTCCAGATCAATGGATAAATATACCTTCGACTGCCACCTTAAGTGGCAAATAAAGCCCGACTTTATATGCCAGTCTCTCTATTTCGACAAAATTATTAGATTCTCTGGTCCGAACGATGCGTCGAACTTGAGCTCTTTTGTTACCCTAAGACACGGCTTTTCTCTTCCAGAAAGTACCTCTTAATGTGTCGGAAATATAAAACTGTTGATCAATGGAACGAGGAGGATGAATAATGGTTCATTTTTAAAGCTCTCCGAGCGCCACCCGTCATCATGAAAAATGCTGACAAGTGCTTCCCGTAACGTGCAGGAGTTTGCAATAAAATACCAGCAAAACCTGCTGCTTATTTCATCAATAGTTTGGGCAGGAAACGCATCAGCTCTCTTTAAAAATTTCATCCCATTCCATAACAAATTTCATGCCATCGTGAAAACTCATCGGCGTTTTAAATGCTAATGGAAAAATACATCTTGTTTATCCTCTATTCCAACAGCAAGGCTTCTATAATTGTATTATTATGACGTAAGTACTCATTTCATTATCTCTGGTCTATTATGCATGCAATTTCCGTAGGACATCACTGCTCTCTATTAAAAAGTTTGTGAAGACCCAAACAATTCCTCAAGATTGACCGTAGGGCGGTTTTTGGATCCGTTACGTCTTATTATTCGATATGGCAAGAGCAACAAACTTTTTTGTGAGGTTGGTTTACAGAGAATTATGACTGCCTTTGATATCAGTTATTGTTGAGACTTTGTATTTTACGATTAAATGTTTTCCCTTTCTGTTTCGTTTGAGACTGTATGATAGTATTCTCGTAATACAGAGAGATTACCAAAGGAAAGTAGCCCAAGTTATTTTTTTTATTTTCTTCAGTGCCAGAGCCTTGGACTTGGATAATTTTTCAATCCATAAGTAAGTTTTAAGTCGATTTATAACCTAATGGACCATGAGTGCTTGATTTCATATGTCCCAAGTGAAAAATTAGGCTTTTCCTTCGAAATTCCGTATTAGATTATGGCCAAGTCGTTTTAAAAATTTCCTCATGAAGTGCATTGAATACAAGACAACAAGTTCCTGAAATAAACTTTTAAAACGAACACTAATACTTAAAGTACTGTATTTTTTCCGTAAATCACTCAGTAAATTGAAACATTCATGTAATGTGCAGTAAACAACAATACAAAGTTAAATAAATTCACGATAAAAACTCACCATCTGAAAGGGTCCCCAGGCGCCTCTCTTCTTAGCGACGCTGCAGTCCTCTGGCAGAGATCCAGCAGCGACTGTCACAGCAGACTCGATACCGAGACGCAGATCCGTCAGAGCGTGCAAGAGATCGTCCTGCATTGCGCCCAGAGATGAGATCTCTTTGCGTATGTCAGAGATCTCCTCTGAACATCGTCGCCGCTGGCCCTGCACCTGACAGACATTGTCTATATGTACATTGATCGACGTCTATGCTATTCGTATCTAAAGGCATGCGTGGTAACGAGGTCAGTAGTGAATATTTTTATCTTTTATACTCGGATAAATTGACCGTGTTCAATGCTATTCGTACCTAAATGTCTGATAAGCGTAATTTCAATATATTTTGTATAAGGAGCACCTGAAAACCCTTGCAAACACTAACATAACAAATTGTGCTAAGAAGAAATGCATTTTATCTGAAAATAATTATATATAAAATGGCACGGATGCATTCTGAGAAACAATAAATTTACAACAAAATAAGAACCACGAGCAACACTCACCTCAGACATTAAAGTCATGGCCCCAATCATGAAAAATCGTAGCCGGAAACTCATTGTCTTGAATTTGTTTCACTGTCAGGTTTAAGTGGGGAATTCACTGTCAGGTTTCAGTGGGGAATTAAAATTCTCTGAAATCATGAAGCATGCTTAACTACTAGCGTTGCTGCCACATCTGAAAAGTCATTGAAATAAGAAATTTTTGAAACATTCCTTGGTAATTCCTTGGTAAACATTCATTCGCAACAAAAACGTAAATCAATTTGATTGGCAACGCTTCGATTTTTTATAATGACCGCAATTTTTATAATCTTATAGTTATTATGCGTCAAACTGTCTTGTGTAACCCAGTTGATGTTGATAGATTTTTTTCAAATTTCGTGATGGTTCTCGATATCTTACAATGAAGAAAATTTCCAAACACATTTGCTGTTTCGTCAGCCATAATTATAATCTGCGCTAACCCTGCGAAAAAAAAAACACAGTTCTCTCTGGCAAATTGGCCACTTTGCGTACGTTAAATCTGGGTCTTCATTAATATTCGTGTGACGTATAAGCAGTAGATAAGGGCCCATAAAATTTGCAGATGGCAGAGACCATTTTATGACCTGTATAATCTATGGCCAAGAAGCTTAGCCAAAAACTCTCGTGGAGTTTCGTTCAGACCCAAAGTCTCCGTCCTTCGAAGCTCACAAAATACGAACAAAATACCTGCATAAATCCTGCCTATTAAGATCCCGCGAGGGTCATCTGCTCTCTAATTCCTGAATCTCAACCGCCCGCCGAAAATTCTCTTGTCTGCTGACAGCTGCTCTGCATTAATAAGAAATGATGCCCCAGAATTCCTGGATGATTCCCTGGAAAGATGAGCTCTCTTAACTAGGCAATATTTATGCTCGTTCTTTTCAAAGGATTGAGAAGTCCATACCAAGTTCTATAAAGAAAAAGGTCCAATGGGAGTGTTTGTGTAGGAAACGAAACTGTTAAGCAAATTTGTGATTCCTGGGTTTCCTTCCAGTTCTCAAACGCGACTGTTTCGTCAATTTTTTATTCATGAGCTTGCTTTCATTTCTCAAAATTATGAAGTTTTTAGCTTCAGTACCTATGGCCTTCATGTCTAATTAAAGAAAATTTTAAAAATTATTTTTCTTTAATGTTTAGTGATTACTTCTTCGTTATTCGACTTGTGGAATGAAGAAAGCACCTAAAAAAGAAACAGGAAGCTATAGATAGACCTCCGATCTAGAGATAAAAAAATTGCGCCTCGATCTAGAGTAATAGGACACAGCCTCGACAGAGAGGAATGGAGATGAAATATCGATTTCAACATCTAAGTATAAAGTTTCGACCAAGAAAAATGAAATTAAAGCCTCAATCTAAAGACAAGAAAAATACGTTATACCAGTGATCAAAAAATATATCAAATTATATCATTGATCAAGGAAGAGCTAGAACCTAGAGACGGGAAGACAGACCACCGTAATCTCAGATCTGCAGGGTCTAACTAGCGTGGCTAGTGACAGTCCAGACCCCAGTGATCGAGGTATTCGATCGTGGACAAAGCGCTCTTTGTGATCTTGTCTTGACTAATGGCCAATGAATAAATTCTGCTCGAACTTCGCGATAATGAATATGAAATCCCGTCGGCAATCCCAAAGCACTCATCGATACGAATAACGGTTGGAATTCACGTTTGATTGCTTTAGTATATTATATGTTTCAATACTAAATTATTGTCTTGAAATGTTCCTTAATTAATAGTGAACTTTTGATGAACAATTTATTTATTTAAATTTGCTGTAAAAGTTTAACTACAAGAAAAGGACCTCTGTCAATATAAGAATTTATATTGGATCCATAGATTTGTTAGTAAATTGAAATTATTTACCATTATGGGGCTTTGCGACTTTGGCGATATTCGTTGAATATCTGAAACATTACACAAAAGATCTTCAAAATTTACAACCTATCACACATTATTTAAAGATAACATGTCACTTCCGTATCGGCATCACTTCAACGCGGTTTTCCTCAGCACCATCCTTCTTTCATTCGGACCTCTTCATTTACCGCTGTTCCGCCTTTAGCACTTCAGTGTAATACCACTAATGAACTGCCATGAACCCTGTTAGCTAATGAAGCTGCCTTCTACACTTGAAAGGGTCGTGAAATTGCACTCTTCACCGCAGCATCACAATGTTAGGCTCTTCTCCACAGACTAACAAAACTGCGCTTTTTACCACAGCACCACAAAGCTGCACTCTTCACAACAGCACCACAAAGCTGCACTCTTCACAACAGCTCCACAAAGCTGCACTCTTCACCACAGCACCACAAAGCTGCACTCTTCACCACAGCACCACAAAGATGCGCTCTTCACCACAGCACCACAAAGCTGCACTCTTCACCACAGCACCACAAATCTACACTCTTCACCACAGCACCACATAGCAGTACCATTGCTCGCAGGATATCACTATATTATAGACCTCACAGCTGCACGACTGTGGTGTTGCTAGTCAAGGCTTGTAGTGAAGCGCAGGCGAGCTGGGATGCGTGCACTCATAGAGATAAGTTGCGTACAATGAAGCCTGTAACGGCTTCACGCTTCTGTTTGTTGCCACACAATTGAGAATAAACTCAGACTTGCTCTGCCTGCCCTCGCACTAACCCTTGCCACTGAATCTCGTCTCGCCGAATGCAATTTCCTTGTTCGCTTTCAATTTTCTGAAAGCTAGATAATATTTTTTTGAAACGAGATTAAATCTGGGGAGTTCACTATTCGACATGAAAATTTCTTGGTTATTCATGTTCAACTTTGACAAAAGTTATATTTCATCATTGTAAATGGAATTTTTCAGCTTGCAAAAAGTTGTAATCCAGTTTCATCCTGATGAAATTTTTAATTTCCGAATCTAATTTTCCTAATCGGACTGAATTTTCATTCACGTCTCACATCATGTTTCCTGTACCCAAAAGTGATCTTTGGACAATAACAAACTTCCAAAAATCACGCAAGCATTCTAATTCCGTTTGAGATTCCAAGAACTCAAATTAATTTCAAACCATAATCACTTTACAGGACTTTAATGCTTACAATTCACTCGCATAACATCAACAAATTCAATTAAATCCTTTCGACCTTCATTTGCTCCTATGTTCGAATTTCACTTGTGTGATTCTCTCCATTTCTTTCTAGTTGAACCAAAATGATGCTTAAAACTTCACTTCAATTAACTCTCACGAACGACCGAATCCAGCCAACACTGCACTGTATAGGCCTTGAATCTCGGGCAAACACGCTTCGATTTTCTCTGCAATATCTTCAGTCAGTTGGAGCTGAAGTTTCAGAGCGTGCAGTCATTGTGCTATATCAGCAACATTGACCAGCGACCTTCACATCGCTGCTATCGGCGCGAGCATTTACCATGACCAAAACACAACGTGACCTGGGGGCTGGAATGCACGGCACTCTAAAGGTCCTGAAATAGTAAGGCCTCTTACCTCGACTCTTGCCATGCATTTGTTCACCACAGAATTTGTTTGAGTTGCACGAATTTCAATTAGTTTCAGGCGAAGCAGTTCAAAATTTGGGTAATTATTTTTAATGATTTTCTCGAGAAGAATGGATGTGTATACAATATTTTTCTTGTTATGTTTTTAATGGAATAATTGCATGCAAATACAAGACTCAAATCTACTGAATTATGGACCTTCGCGTTCAATCCGTTACCTATCCCAATTTTCACGCTTGTCAGCTTCTAAACATAAACGCCTTAGTGTCGCTAGCACGAAAACTAGTGGCTTCATAGGTTCGAGTTTCGTTCAGTTTTGCCGAACGAAATAAAGGCCTAATTAGCCTACAGAATAGTTTCTGTGGAAGGAGGTGGCTTTTCATTACACATTATAGTATTAGCTAAACATTAGTATTAGTAGCATACATTAGTATTATTAAAAAAAGTCCACTTCGTGGAGTATCGAGCCCTGAATTCCTAAGCGCCAAGGAAACTCTAAATCATGTATTGCATTTTATATTAGTTTCATCTAGTCAAATTAGTAAATTTTTAAAAAAATTATTTCAAATTCACTGATCACATCCAAATCAAATTATTTCAAAATTCAGTGATCACATCGAATCGATATTATTTACTCAATATATATGTGTATTAATTACATATGAAACCAGGGGTGTTTTGAGCGCAAATACCATACCTTAAGAGGAGCCGTATAGGAACTCAGCCAAGTCTGGATCAATAAATATTGTCTTAATCAATACGGGGCGTTTCATTGTCATACGTTTATTTGATTTCAAATTACTTTTAATTAAACCTTAAATTCTGGTTTTTGAAACGTCTCTGAAAGGCAGAGGAAAAAAATGCTCCTCTAACGTTTGGGAACAAATACTGTAATTGGAAAAACTACACACATAAAATGCATTATATGTGGTTATATTTATTCCTTCGCAGCCGTGGTAATTAAATCAGATTCATATGCATGCACGGCAGAACTCGCTCAATTATTATATCATTCAACGATGGCCTTTATTGAATTGACTTTTGTTCAATGTGAGAAATTATCCATCAATTATTACACTAGGAGTACATAGAATTTTACAAACCTTTATAGTATTTTCTTAAAGTTCAAATGGTCTTGAATTATTGAAATTTCTATAACAATAGCTCGAGCTGCAACGGAGAAGGCAACGTTATCACCTCCGAGGGATCATCCATCAAGTTGCCCTGGCAGCTCAGAATGAGCAGCTTCCTTCGTCAGGGGCAGTGGTCAGGCTGGTATAAAATATTTTTATTTGCCGGCAGTTCAGTTTGGGAGCTGTTTTATTTTTTAGCAATATAAATTTGAGCACAAAGTATTTCCATGAATGATTTTGTTCACCTACTCGACCGAACCTAATCAAACTTTACTATGTTATTCCTCTACCAATGAATTATAAATATTTGAGTATGCCCCTCGTCGATATAATGGCTGAAACAATTTCCTTAGCTTGGAGGATAATATCATAGATCTAGATCGATTAAAAATAAAAATTTAATTCAGAATGAATATTTAGATTGATGAGAAGTTCACTGTCCACTCTATCGTGGGAGCTTATTTCGAGATAAAGCTAATTTGCTCATAAGATATTTTATTATGCTGATAATATCGGTCGGATTTAAGT